TTTTCTTCAAGTTCCATGTCCACTTGCATCTTCATCTAATGTCATGCCCTCCTTTATCTTGTAATCTATCCTTAGCATCCAACAAATCTTTAAGGTAGATGTACATCTCCAAACTTTCATCACTCCTGCAACTTCTCTTGTCGTCCAACACCCTAGTACCTGCACTAAAACAAGATTCTAATGAAATTGTAGACACTGGAGGGGTTAGTGGATCATGTGCCATGCGGCAAGGACTATATAGTTGTTTTTCATGTCCTCTCCACGGGGCTAAAATATCAAAATTATCCATTTCCTTCCAGTCGAAGGAATTAGCTAAAGTAGAAATACTTGCATATAAATAAAAATTAAGTTTAGTAAATGAACTTGTTGATGAAGTGGTACTAGATTTCTGCCTCTTATTTATTACAGTGAATTTTGTCTTTTCCACTACTAGAACTAGTTGCTTTAGAAGTGAAACTTGTAGTTGTACAAGATTTCCTACGCCCTACCACTTAGATCCATATAAACTATACATTTATCACTTGGGAGGGTATTTTGGTCATTATAAAGTCATTTATCACTTTACCTAAATACCCCATAAACTAGTTGTTATATAATTGTTGGGGGCATTATTGTCATTTTATCTCCCACTAAAGCCAAAATACATAAATACCCCCATATAGTTGTTTATAGCTATTGGGGGTATTTTTGTAAAAAAATCCAAAAAGTTGAAACTAGCCATTGGGGGGGTCTCCAATGGCTAGTTCTTCAAGTGGGCCGCGCTCGGCCCACTATGGGCCTATGGGTAGGGTCGTGCTGGCCCACGGGCCACGTGCGGCATGATATGCATACTTGAAACCCCAAGCCCAACACAGCCCATACAATTGTACCATGCCACATCACGGCCTGTGAACCATTGGGCCGGGTTGGCTCAAAATCATGTCGGGCCATGCCAAGACGCGGGTGACACGACCCAATTTACACCTCTACCTATTTGTGTCAAGTAGGGCCAGCAAGCAATTTATATTTGAGTAGTTTTGAAAACCACTAGGTATATTTAAGTAATTAACCCCTTTAAATTTTGTATCTCAGTTTTATCATTAATAAAAAAACTTTGTATTTATCAAACTTATTTTTGTTTAATATGATCCATTATAATATTAAAGATGTTTCCAATTTTATTCACAAGATTTTTTATATTGTTATATTTTTATTACTTCATTATGACATCATGGATTGATCCATTTGTCCAAATTAGTTGAACTACTTACTTCCCACTTAGATGGAAGAACGGTTTCATTTTTAAGCTGGTTTTAAACATCTAGGTTTTGTATTGTTAAATTATTGGGCATAGATTTAATTAGTATAATTTATTGGTAAGAAACATAAATACCTCAAATATATGATTTAATGAGAGAGAATGGGAGATATATAACACATTAAATATAGGACTTAATTAGAGGGAATTGAATAAAGATAAAAGTAGGGATATTTAAGTTAAGAAGAAAGTCAACAAAGCTCATTTATTTCAGGGCAAATTTCTTAAATTACCCCCACTATTTAACTAATTGACTAACTACCCTTAGTGTTTAACTATTGCCTTGCACCACCCTACTGTTTCTGATAATTGACATTGTTGTTAAGTGCTAACAGAGAAAATGAAATGTCAAATTTACCCTCCACTATTCCTCAAATTTTCAAAATAAAACTCAAATTTTAGGAGATAGGAATCTGCTCCATTTCCATCTTCGTCTCTATTTTCTGTCTTGTCTTCGTTTTCCGTCTCTTGCCTCCTGCCTTTGTTTTCCTATGCAGAGTGTAGTAAGTCGACAAGTCTACGCCTCAACCTTGGCTCATTTTAGTAGCTTCCTACAAGCAGAAGAACCTGAATCATAGAAACCGATTAGAAATAGGGAGAGGGTTATTGATCTGCATCTTGATATAGAGAAGGTTGATAGAGAAAATTGCAGTGTTAGTAGTGCCAGAAATTGGAGTAGATAACAGGTGGATCAAGATAAATGTTGGTGGTAAGCTATTTGAAACCATTGTTTGAATAATGCAAGCTAGTGGTCCCAATTCTACTCTTGTAGCACTAGCAGATCGAGAGTTCATTATTCGAAACCAATTTTTATAGATCAAGACCCTGAAATCTTCTTAGTCCTTCTTTATGTTCTCATCTTTACCAGAGTGTCCTAAGGCATGTGTCGTTCGGTCTCCCAGAGCGTGTTTTACCAGATTCCCCACACTTTTGCCTGAAACTCTAACAAGAGAGTGGCGGAAGCGGGTGGAGCTCAGGAGAACTCAGTTGAATAAATACATTTCCCCACCTGAATAAATAAATACATTTCCCCACCTGAATAAATAAATACATTCATGAATTATGTTTATATACAATAATTTTTTAAATATGTATGTATGTATGTACGTATGTATGCACATTTATAAATGAAATTTGTATATATTTTTAATCAATTATACTATTAAGTTGGGCCATAAAGCTTGATAAATAATGGCAATATAAGAATGTATGCATAAATTCTTTCAAACCCGACTAACTACCTAGCCTAACTAAACCTAACCCAAACCAACCCTAGCCCAGCCTATCCTGAGAGTTGCGTTAGGTTAATCTTGTGTTAGACTTAGGTTGATAAACTTTACCTGAGTTATGGTTTTGGTGAATGGTGACTCCCTCCGTTCCCCCAACATGCAATATCAAAATACTTTTGCACAATACCTAGTTTCTAGCACAATTCAGATGTCATTGATCGCAATGTTTGCTCCACATTTTGGGCATCAATTTTGGTTTCAAGAAAGTTTTTTCCCTTTTGTTTATTTTATGTTCTTACTAGTCTTTTACTTTCACATGTTTGCTTAGTCCTATAGTAACACATTAGTGGGGGAGAGAGAGAATGGTATCCAGCCCTATAGTAACACATTAGTGGGCATCAATTTAGGCTGCGTTTGGAAATGATATAAATGTGTTTTGATGCATTTATGTGTCGCAGTTCTCCTTTGCAAGTGTTTGGGTACACTTAATTTATGTATTTAAAAAGAGCAGAAATTTGTGTTTCCTAACAGTTTACCTTGAAGAGTGTAAATGTTTACTTCCATTTTTTTGAACCAAACTTTTATTCTCTTCTTCACCATTTTCAATCTAGGCTCAGTTTGGAAACAAATATGTATAGTACAAATACATAGTTTTACACTCTACATATTTGCATTTGTACTCCTTCCAAACTGAGCCGTAGCTTTTGCTTGAACACAAAATAGAGCAAGCAACACCTTTCCTTTCTGCCATTCTCTTTGTCTCTCTTCCTCATCTCCTTCTTATGGCCTATCTCCTGAACCATCACCGGCGAACTAGAGCATTAGAACTACCATTGCAACTCTCTTCTATTCGAAATGACTATAGATCTTGCATCTTCGGTCTCTAACAACTTCGATTCGTTCTTTCTTTGGCGGCACTTTAGAGCGTAAATCTCTTTGTTAGCACTCTAGAGTAGAAACCCCTTTGGCCTTTGCTCAATAGTAAGTTTTGAGCAAGTACTCCTTGACATTACAGCAAAAAACCCTTTTCCTTCATAGTATGTTTTGTTCAATTGATCTCTTCTTTGATAGCACGGGGATGAAACCCCCTCTTTCCTTGTCGGTTTCTTTATTGGTGAAACCCTCTCTCAACCATTAACCAAGGTCTCTTTCAGCAATAAATCTTCTTCTTCAATCTTTGTTCTTTGATACTTGTATTGCATTTGCACCATTAAATGTCAAACAAGATTTGCACATTCATACATGCAAATGCCAAACAGATTTGCATTTTTACAAACTAGACAGTAATATTGCATTTGTATTCTACACTTGTGTTTACATCTTTTCAAATATAGCTTAGGCTCAGTTTGGAAAGAATACAAATATAAATATGTAGAATACAAAACCTTGTATTTTATATGCATTTATATTTAAAATCTTTAGACTCTGTTTGGGAAGAATGCAAATACAAATATATTTGGCACAAATACCAAATACAAGGTTTTGCATCATATATATTTATATTTGTATTCTTACCAAATTAAGTCAAATGAAATCATACTTACTGGCCAACACCTACTAAGAGATGGTGCCAACTAGCTCAATTGCTTAATAACTGGTGCTATCATCAAGGTTGGGGATTAAGGGTAGGGCTGCATCTCTGGGCGAGCCCAACTCAAACTTGACCCAACCCAATCCGAGTTTTTGCACAAATTGGACCTGTATTTTTTGGGTTGTAGATTTGCCTTGTGTCAAAAAATTCGAGCTTGACCTAAATTTAGCTTAAGCTTCGATTGAAGCCTCGGTTAGCCTGAAATTGATCCAACCCAAGCCCAGTCGAACAAAAACATATATATATAAATGCATTATATTTATATAAAAACCTTTCTTAATTTTATATACATTTATTATATATGTATAAAACATGCATCAATAAATTCTACTCACCCAACTTAACTAAGCCCTGCCCAACCCAATTGAAGCCCAGCTCAAATTTATATGGGATTAAACTTCCAATCCAATCCGTCCAAATTGCACCCGAATTCAAATCAGCCCCCCACAATATTGCCCTCTATAACGTCTTACAGTATATCCCTGCTGTGTATTGAGAATATTTTCCGATGATAACATTTCAGCGAGAGATGTTCTCAATACACAGTGGGGATGTGGGACGTTGTGGGGCTGATTTGGTCTCGTTCAGGCCAATGACGGTAAAATGTTTTCCTTTCTCTCTCCCCGACTTATTCATTAATCCTTTCCTCCTCTGTGGGGTTATTGGGCTACACAAATATGAGGGAGACCGTACCCCTAATAGGGGTGCAACCGCAACGAGACCAAATCAGCCCCCCACAAGGGGATGTACTGTGGGACGTTGTGGGGGGCTGATTTGAACTCGGCCTGAACGAGGCAAACATCCATTGGCCTTATGCAATGGATGGTCGACGACTCGACGTGTTAACGTGGCGCGATTGATCCATTGTTTCTTGTTTGTAAGCGCCACGGTAGATAGTAAATTCTGTTTCATTTACCCTGTTTCCGTTACATTCAGAACTAAATAGATTACAGAGAGAGATCTCAAATCTCGGTTGGTCACTCTAAACAATCTTGCCACTGTCAAGCTGCTATCTTCTCTGGTTTGATCGATTTCTTCGCATTGGTTAAAGAAGGAGGTGCCTCATCAGGCATGCAAGCACTCTCTGCTTCTGTCATTAGGGTTTCTCTCCTCCGATCGTTTCTCTGTTCTGCATTCAGTGTTTACTGTTTGTTTACTTCTTCGTTGCTCTTCATCCTTCTTTGTTCTGAACAAGTTCTTGCCAATGTGTGTTCAGAGGCTTGGTGGTGGATCTTTTATGTCGGTTGCTGGAAGCAGTAGAGAGAGTGGTCGGCTCCCGAGAGAAGTGAAGGGGATTCTGCAGTCCTTGGCTTCCGGTTGGAATGATGTCGCCGATTCAAAGGCGTTGCAGGTGATCCCGCTGAAGGGGGCGATGACCAATGAGGTTTACGAGATAAAGTGGCCAACCAGAGCTGGTGAACCCGCCCGAAAGGTTCTGGTTCGGGTTTATGGTGAAGGCGTGGACACTTTCTTTGACCGGACTGACGAGATTCGTACGTTTGAGTTCATGTCGAAGAATGGCCAGGGACCTCGGTTGCTGGGGCGGTTCCCGAATGGGAGGATCGAGGAGTTCATTCATGCTCGGGTATGCCATCCTTGTTCACTTTTTGTTATTGCTCTCTCTCTCTCTCTCACACACACATACACACAAACAATGAAATGTTGGACTGATACTGTTCTTATTACTGCAAATCTCTATTTTTTTCCTAGATTGTAGCAATTATTTTAACTTGATGTGATAGAGTGCACCATATGACTCTTTTTATCATCTCTAGATGGTCTGGCATATGCATTTTGAATTACAAAGAAGAAAACCATTTTTCTAGAAGAATAAAGATGCAGGTTGGGTGTGGATTCTTCCTTCTTTAAGATTTATAGGTGACACCTGAGCAACTACAGGAAATATCTTGAACTTTGAGGTTTGTGAAACCAAGTGGATATTTGTAACTGTTAATCCAACTGGATGGTAAATCGGTAACATTCAATCATCTTTCAATGTTAACCCTCTCCATTGTTCAGACTAAGGCACTGGCAACTTCAAGATGTTCTTGATTGGCAATTTGGTCTTTGCTCTTCAGTTGGTCATGCTTTCATTAATTTCACTATTGTATCATCATGCTTGGTTAGAGCTGGTTTTAAGAAAAGATTTGTCTCCACATGGTGTTTCTCACCCAAAAAGGAAACAAAGAATATTGAAACAATGAAGATGATTTGTTGAATTAATATCAAGGTCGTAAGCCAGTAGCTGATTTGAATGAACTTGTGTGGGATTGGTCTCTTTCCTCAGGGAACAAGGTAGAACCTCCTGAAGCACTTATTATCACATAATAAACAGGTATGTTCTCCCTTAGATGGTTAGACCACCATATTAAGATGATTATTGATCAGGCAATTTTAGAATGAGAAACACAGGCTAACACAAGCATAAAAAGTACATTGTATGAGCAGATATCAAAACATTACCAACCTCACAAAAGTATACCTGGGCCTAGGGAACCCATACAAGTTCTGGTTGACCTATCCCTTCCTTTGCAAGTGAATTGGCAAGGGCATTGGCTGAGCTAAGCACCAACCTAATGAGAGGCTGGTTACTAAAAGGAGGGACAATTAGTTCCATATATCTGATATAAAGGAATAATAAAGGAACGTGGAATTAACATTTCTGCCATTCATCAAGCATAAGAAGCACACATGAGAGGAAATACAAATACTCCAAGATTTTGGTATCCCAAAAGAGTATTCCAGTCATTGTTATCTAAAAAGCAGACTACAAAAGCTTTTGTTATCTCTATAAATATAAAAGATTTGAATTAAGCTTCTTTTTATGTATACCAAATTAACCTCTAAGTGTGCATTTAATCTGACTGAGAATGCTCTAAGAATTTCTAGGCTAGATTATACTGTGATTTTTCTAATGCTACTAATCTGCAATAACTGTAAACTTAGAACAAAAGAATTTTGAAGAAAAGAAAAAAAGAGGAAATATGAAAATTTCCAGAAGTCATTCCAATCCAACTCATTTTGAAAAGTAAGGAGCCACTGATGAGGGACTACTAGACAGTAGTAAACCACTATCATTGTCTACATCTAGAGTGATTACAGGTAAGGTAGTCATGGTTGCCAAAGGACATGCATCAGTGGAGAGGTTGCTGGAGATTCCATAGGATTGGATAAACTAAATCCATGACGTAATAGTAAGTCAAAAGGTTCCCTCTTTGAGGTGAAGTTGGGTCAGAAGATAAAGAAGGTTGGGTTGACATTGGCATTTCCTGAATCTTCTGGGATTGGAAGTGTGGATGTGGAACAAGTTAAAGATGAGGATAGGGAAGATGACCTGGATTTGAGATCAAGAGTGCCTATGTTGAAGGCTCGAATGGTCATGTCATGGAGGATCTGTTCAGACTATCAAGGAGATCTCAAATTTGGCAAAGTTTCCTAACATTGAACAGCTTTCGTTTCAGTGCAGACACTGATGGTGCCTCTCATTTGGATAAAAGTTCTCTAAACCAGGTGTACAGGAGCAGGGTGTATATGAGTTGGAAGTAATTCGTAATTCTGCTTCTGTTCCTAGTCAAGAAGACGTTGGCATGCATTGACTCCAAACTTTTCCATTCAATTAGAGAGTGTTACAGGTAATGTCTTAGGATTGGATGTATCATCTTCTCAACATATTCTAGTGGGTTGTTTGATTGATAATCTTCTGCTTGTCCCTGAAACCCCAAAAGTTACTGATGTCTTTCCATTTCTTCTACTCAATTCTCCATTCATTCACCTCTCAACATTACTAGATTTTTGTAATTTATCAAAAAAAAAAAAACTAGTTTTTTGTAGTTTTCTTTGGTTCAGTCACCTTGGGTTGTTGATATTGTTAGGTTTTCTGAAGTCTGAACTACATAAGGGTCTCAATTATAGAATGCCACAGGAGCTTGATATTGCACCTATAACCACAAACCACTAATCTAGGGGAGATGCTGTCATTTGTGGGGGGTGAAAATTCACGAAGTTCTTGGAATCAGATTTCTTAGTTTCCTTATAATTGTCTCTTATTAATAATGTGGTGGCTGGACTGGGTTTTGATTGCTCTCCTGCTGTTGTTGTGAGAATATCAAGCCCTGTGGATGCTTTTGTCTTAGGGGAAGAGTGACTGTGAGAACCCCCAATGCATGTCTTATACAACTGCCTGGTTAGGTTCTAGGCAACCTTGTTTGGATGCCACTAGTAGAGAGGTGATTGCTATAGATGAGCATCCTATCTTCCCTGCTCAACCTGTTCTTGTCTCTAACCCCTTTGTTGTGTCATAACCTGCTGATGATATGTGATAACTGCTAAGTTGGGTCTGGATTTTTCCAACCACAAGGGGAAAAGGCATTTTCTAAGTGGGAGGTGGGTTTTTTTCTTGTAAAGTTATCAAAGGAGGAAATCTGAAGTGGAGAAGTCCCAATGGGTTTGTACACAATACAGTGGAGGTTCCAAGAGGGAGAGAATACATGCTAGAAGAGTTTATAATTACAGTTAGTTGGAATTTGGGAGCTTTAGAGAAAATGCCTGACTGCCTGTAAGAAAAGAACTGTTAAGGACTCCTTAAGGAAGTTAAGGCCAAGGTTTAAAATGTCAGTGTCAGTGGAAATGCTGGTTGTCCAGGTATAAGAAACATGTCGGAAATATTGTAAAAATTATAGACATGGTGGAAACATTGTAAATATGCAAAATATAGAATGATATTTTATGAAATGATAAAAGAAGCATAGGTACACCCTTTTAAATTATTATCTTGTTCCAAATCACTAAACAAAGCTAAGAAACTAAGGTTATAGACAAAAGAATATGTTCAGAAGTTGCCCTGTAAGCCATAGGATTCAGAGCTTTGTGATAGAATGAGTTAAAGAAAAATTTAAACTAACAGGGAATGCAAATGGTTGTAATAGATCAACCAAATAATCTATTACACAAAGAGAAACTAATATTCAACTTCATGCTTGAAATGAATATTTAGCAGCTCAAAGTGATAATCATGTAAGTTAGGTAGGCAATAACATTGTTACTCCACATATCTGCAATATTATCACCAACTTATGTTACAGTACTATCTCTTATATTCCATTAGTGCCGGTAGTGTTGACTAGGGAATATGTATGTCATGGAAACTATCTCTTGTATTCCACATAGTACTGGTAGTGTTCATTGGGGAATATGTTGATTTTGGTAAAATTTCGTTTCACTACCCATGGAAATGGAAATATGTCATGGAAATATTAAGGAAGTTAGGGACATTTTAAACCATGGTTAAGGCTAAGATAATTCACATCCAAGAATCCAAACTTCCTGAGAAACATTCATAATGTGTTCTGAGTGTGTGGTCATCTAGAGATTCTAACCTCGTTAAAGTGCTTGGTGGAACTTGTGGGTAGATTATATGTTCCTTGAAACTAAAGTCCAAGGCTGTTGGCTTAGACCAAGTGCTGACAAATGCCTACAGCCCTAATTCTTATAAAGGGAAGAGAATTATGGGAGGACTTCTATAGCATAAGGGGTTTGTGGGTTTTAGTTGGGAACTCTAATATTATTAAGATTTGTTGAAGAAAGTAATAATAGCAGCAGGGCTATTACTACAGACATGAGAAACTTCTGTTTATTAATGATTGTGAGCTTAGTGGTCCACTTTTACTGTAGGCATGTTTCAAATGGACCAATTATCAGAGTTCTCCTATGTGTTCTAAGCTGGATAGGTTTTTATTCACCCTAGATTAAGGCCCACTATCCTTGTGTTTCAAGTTCTGCCCTTCCTGGATCAAGGGGTGCAAGTTAGGCCAGGTTAGATTGGGTTGAGATCAATCCTAGCCCAACCTGAGTTGTTGAGCCCCCAAACCTATCCCTAACCCAACCTAATGACATTGGGTTGGGTTCTAATTGGGCTCAATTAGGTTTGGGTTTGTCCAAATTCTTCACTTCTTATTTCTTTTAGGAAGAAAAAAAAAACATTATAAGTATCATATGTTCCTCCACCTAAGGAGGTTTATGAACTAAATGCAGTATTCATGCAGAGGTCACTCCCCACTCTCCCTATGGCCTGTATACTAATGCTTTTTGGTCTCTCCCTATACATATTGTGAAGAGAGTTTGTGCTGTTTATCATTAATAACAATAACAAATAACAATAATTTCCTTATATTTCTGGGTACACATTTTTTGTGTTATCTCAACATTTTCAACAAATATACATGTTTTACTTGTCAGAAGGAAAGGTATTATGCATATGGATGTCTAAGGCAAGCCCTCAGAAAATTTGTCTGATATTCCAACCAAGTCAAATTAGAAAGATCAGGAACCGATAACCATTTAGAAAGATTGAACAATCTGCACCAACAGAAATTTACCAAAAAACAAGAGTGGACCAGCTGATATAGGATGAGAGAGAACAAGGAAAACATGAGTATGTCTTTATGAGGAAGGTTAAGGTATGCAAATCATGATGATATGAAGAAAATACAGAAATATAAAGGTGAAGTCAGATGAACAACAAAATACAGAAGAGTTAATAGTACCTCTGAGTTCCTCCGATCAAGGTACATGAACTCCACCTTTGTTACTATCGTTAGTTCTTGCTGCAGTTAGTTGATAATAGGATACAATCTGGTTGTCTCATATATGTCTCACACATTTCCTTCTTTATATTCTGACCTCACCATTTGAAATTTTATTGTTGTTCTTGAAGCTGATAACCATTTTTTTATCCTGTTTTTCTGGAATTTCAGACACTATCAGCATCTGACTTGCGAGATCCAGAAATATCTGCTCTTATAGCTTCTAAATTGAGGGAATTCCATGATATTGAAATGCCTGGTCCCAAAAATGTAACTCTGTGGGATAGGTTGAGGTATTTGTACATACACAAATTTTAAGGTTTTCAATAGCAGTAAAGATGCTAAGCTGAATTTGTCCCTCTTTTCAGAAAGTTTCTTAATGCTGCCAAAAGTTTGAGTTCCCCTGAAGAATCCAAAAGTTTCTGTTTGGATAAGATGGAAGAGGAAATCTGTATATTGGAAAGGAGGTTGTCAGGGAATTATCAACGTATAGGATTTTGCCACAATGATTTGCAGTATGGGAACATAATGATGGACGAAGAAAGCAAATCAATTACCATTATTGTAAGTTCTACATCCATATCTCCCTCTGTTCCAAACATGCAAACCATATGATGGGAGAATGTTTTGCCATGTGCTTATCTGCTGACTGTTCATTAGAGTTCTGTTTTCATATATGAATAGTAAAGTTAAGATCCATTCTCCTTTGGCTATGTGATATTCAAACAAGGTCAGGTGTCCAATGAGTTGACCTATTACTGTGATAATTTAAATATTTAAAGAGCCTGTTGAAATGGATAAATCCCAACTTCTGAAAGTATTTGCTCAACTGAGTTTTTGAGAGTTTTTCATGACTTGTAATCCAAGTTACAAGAATCACTACTTGCACAAATGATGTTCATAGATGCAGTGGCCAGTATTACCTGATTTATCACTTTTAATATTGAAAACCAAGTATCATCAGAGTAACTGTTGGATTGAGTACATGGTCATGACAAATTCATTTTTGTATTTGCATGTATTTTTTATTGGAAGGTGCATTGTGGACTAAGTAAGTGCCAAACTGCTAGCTCTAATTTCATGCCAAGTTTATTTGAGGGCACCCTGTCCATGATTGAACATCAAGTCAGCCACCTGTATGTGTGTGTACGGTACTTGTGTATTTTTGTATATGTGAATTTGTGTTTGTATATTCTCTTGTGTACGCCAGTGTCTGTGTATGTGTGTGGCTGACTTGAGGGCACCATATCTATGATTTGATGTCAAGTCAGCCACCTGTTCTAATGTTTAATGTGCTTTTTTTATGTATGTATGTATGGATGGATGCATCCATGCATGCATGTATGTATGTATTCGCGCGCGTGTGTGTATGGTACTGTATTTATATATGTGCATGAGTGTGTGTTCCTATATATGTATGTATGTAAAGCTGCTAACATCAAGTCAGGCACCTTTTGCCATGATATTCAACATCAAATCGGGCACCTTTTGCCAGCTTTTAATTGCTTATAAAGGTCAAACTGCTATATCTAATCTCATCCGAAGCTTATTTAAGGGTTCTCTTCCATGATTCAACATCATGTCAGGCACCTTTTACCAGCTTTTAATTGCTTATAAAGGTCAAACTGCTATATCTAATCTAATCCCAAGCATATTTCCAGATTTTAATTTGCTTATAAAGGTCAACCACCTATTGCCAGATTTTAATTTGCTTTTCTATGTTTTTATGTATGTATATGTGTGTGGTAAACCATTTCTTCTTCCTTTTATAGGACTACGAGTATGCAAGTTACAATCCTGTTGCTTATGATATTGCAAACCACTTCTGTGAGATGGTAGCTGACTATCATACAGAAACACCTCATGTTTTGGACTTCAGCAAATACCCTGGTTTGTATTTGTAGAGTTTTAACTCTCTCCTGCGGTTTATTGCTTTCAGTTTCATTTTAAATTCTGGTTTAAATTTAAGTAATCTTGCTATATCTGCATTTGGCGATAGGGTTGGAGGAGCGTCAAAGATTTTTGCATATATATATGAGTTCAGGTAACAAAGTAGTTGTGATGATTGCATGGGTTTATATCGGATACAATATTACATTTTTTCTAGGATTGATTTACTTTAAGGTGTCTAGTATGTAAAATCCATCATAGTTCAAAGAGTTGGTTGTCTCTAGTTCATGGAACAGTTGGTTTGGCATGCAGGGAGTGTGTCAGTTGTGTATTTAAATTCAGAAGCAACCAAAACTCAAGGGTGACCAATTGTTCTCTTTACATTAGTTTATCATAAGAACCAGATCCCAAAAGCATTGGTATCTGTATAATTCTGAACAGTTAGCTAAAGTTAAACTGTAAATGCCTACAATTACCAGTTTACTTTGGTCAATAGGGGGAATTTAGTTAATGAGGTATTGTTTGGGCCAAATGTTAGAGAAGTTGAAGGTCAGTTGGTGTTTCCCACAAACAGTGGTGCAAATGTAAGCGGGTTGTTACATAAAAGGGTAAAAACAAAGGAGACACCTGATCTGGAAAACAATTCTCCTGGAAATTGTTTAGGCTATTTGGAGAGAAGGAAACAAGAGTATTTGAAGAAAAGGAAATGGAGCAGATAGAGGTGGCAAGGAAGGTAGAAGCCCAATTATACTCTTGGATGACAGCAAGAAAGGAAATGGAAGATGTTCACTAGCTTGCTAAACTGGCAGTAGACTATTGTTCTGGGCTTTTCTTTTTGTAAATAATAGTATACAAAAGCTGGAGTCTTTTATTTTTCTGATGTATTTCCTGTGTAATTATCCACTGCACAGATTTTTTGTAAAAGCACAAGATGCAAAAAAGTGCAAGGGGCATTTTGTGCCCAAGGCACTAGGCGCATGGCAAGGCATGTGACTTTTTGAAGCAAGGTGTAAAAATGCAAAAAATAGCAAAGAAATTAAACATATTACATAGTATCAATTAAAAAATAGAAACTTAAATTTTCAAATAAATGTTTTAAAAAACCTATTATCTCAAATTAAAATACATAAATATTCATAAAAAAATTAAAACACATAAATATAGCATGTAAAACATATTCAAATGAAAATGTAAAAAATAAAACCAAGCGCAACAGATAAAACATATTTAAGCATGTGAAACATTCAATCTCTTTAATTTTTTTTTTTGATAAATGAGTGAAATCTCTTTAATTTTTTTCCCAATTGCACTACTTCAAATAACTAATATGATGTCAAGCATTTTGCATTCCTAATTTTATGAGACACCTTTTGTACCAAGCCCCTTGAGGCAAGCCTAAACAAGTCTATGTTTTTTCTTTTTTGATAAATCCCAAACAAGTCTATGTTAGTGTCTTAAATTTTTATTTCGTATGCAAATGACTAGTTTTTTTTTTTTTTGATCATCAAAGGAAACTTTTATTTGAAATTGGATTTAAGAAGTTTTACAACAATGTGTATGGAACAAGAAGTCCCACACGAATACATATTTCTGTCCCTTTTACAATGCAGCCCAAAACAATTGTTGCCTCAAAGCCCCTTGTTTAGCAAGATAATCAGCTAGCCCATTTGCACTCCTTCTAACTCATTTGAATTCTGCTTCTATCTCCCATGCAACCTTTTCCACTTCCCTTATCACTTGTTTGAAGGTCCACGAAGTAGTTCTATTGTTATTGGCCCAAGAGATGATCACCTTGGAATCCCCTTCAACCTCAATTTGCCTCATTCCTAGTTGCTTGGCTATCTTCAATCCTTGTAGCAATGCCATTACCTCATTTTTTAGAGAGTTGCCCATGCCAATAGGACTAGAGAATAAAGCTAATATCCTCCCTTTAGAATTTCTGATTACTCCCCCGATACCTGACAATCCCGGATTCCCAAATGAACTTCCATCAAAATTCAGTTTAATTCTGTTACCATTTGGAGGTTTTCATTCCAACCTTACTCTCTCTTTCACTCTTGAAGATTGTGCTACTTCTGTCCAGGATCATATAATGTCTGTGACCGAGAACTCTTGGAATATATGCAAAGAACTTACCCAATGGGCTACTTTAACTTTGATTGTGTCAATCACCTCCTCCGTGGTTCTACTCTTTTCTAAGAATATTCTGTTATTCCTTTCTTCCCATATCACCCAACAAATAGCTGCCTTTGTAGCTTTCCACATAACCTTCCCTCTTTTCTTTGATTGCCTCAAAAAGTCACGGTTAAAAAGACCTGCCACATTTTGAGGGAAAACCCACTTGCAACCAAAGAGAAGACAAAAAGAATCCCAAACATGATGCACAAAAGAATAGAATAAAAAAAAGGTGTGTCAAGGTCTCACCACTTTCCTTACAAAGGGAGCACATGTGAGGAGAAAGGCAAGAAAAAGTCCTTTTCTGCAGCATATCACACGTATTAACCTTACCAAGGAAAATTTCCCAACAAAAGGCTTGAATTTTTGGGGGGATAGGCTTACTCCAAATTTCTTTTACAGGGAAGTCCCCAACCGGGTTGCTAGGTGAGGCAAGGACATTAAAGAAAGAGGAACAAGAGAAGCCATATGTGGAGCCTTTCCAAATTCTGGAATCTTCCAAGGATGGGTCCAAAAGGACTTGTCCTAGAATATCCAGCAAGTGAATTAAAGATGCACATTCATTTTCCCTCAGGCCCCTTCTGAAACCCAGATTCCAATTGATCCCACTTGGGCCAGGATTACCCAAAAGACTTATTGTTTTCCCTTTTAAGTTTGACAAAGAGTATAGGTCAGGAAAAAGGTCTTTGAGTGGACTATCTCCCACCCAAAGATCTTCCCAGAAACGAACTTTATTGCCTTGGCCCACATCAAACCGMATGGAATTAAGGAAAGATGGGTAAATTTCATGGATAGCTTTCCAAGGAGAACAAGAGGATACATGAGGAGCAACTTTTGCATCCCAACCATTCCCATCCAAACCATGGATACTCGCAATGACTTTGTGCCACAGTCTATCTCTCTCAAAAGGGAACCTCCACAACCATTTTCCTAGCAGAGCTGAGTTCCTAAGTGAAATATTTTCTATTCCCAAACCCCCTTTATCCTTGGGCTTTCTAACTTGATCCCAATTTATCAGGTGATCCTTTTTTTCCTCTCCTGGATCCCAAAGGAAATCTCTCATGTATTTTTCTAACCTCCTTGCCACTCTACAGGGTATTCTAAAGGTTGAGAGAAAGTAGACAGGGAGGTTTGCCAACGTGGCTCTGATCAGTGTTATCCTTCCACCAAGAGAGATGTAGTTCCTCCTCCAAAGAGCTAGCTTCCTGACAAATCTTTCAATGACTGGCTTCCAAAAATCTTCTGACCTAGGATTACCACCTAAAGGTAACCCCAAATAGCTAGTTGGCCAACTTCTAATCTCACACCCCAAAATCTCTGCAAATCTATTAAGTTCCCCTTCCTCCAAATTGATCCCTACGATGCCTGTTTTGGTCCAATTATTCCTTAAACCTATTATTCCCACAAAGTTATCCAATAGCCTCTTTAGATTCACCACACCATCCTCGTTACCACCCTCACAAAAGAAAATTGTGTCATCTGCAAATTGGAGGTGGGTAACAACCTCTTGATTTCTACCCATCCTCCACCCCCTGAACAACCCTTGGGAGTCGGCTTTTGCCACCATTCTACGTAACACCTTAGCCACTACAGTAAAGAGAAAGGGAGATAAGGGGTCTCCTTGCCTAATTCCTCTCTCCGCCGGAAAGAAATCCCTTGCTACTCCATTAATAAGAATTGAGTAATGGGCATAATTCAGACATCCTCTAATCCAAGATCTCCACTTAGTTCCAAAGGCCAACCTTTCTAACATTTGAAGTAGCACTTCCCAATTAACCATGTCATAAGCTTTCTCTAAGTCCACCTTACACACCAACCCTTTTCCTCTACCCTTTCTTTTTTCTGCAATACACTCATTGGCTACTAGAATTTGATCCACAATCTGCCTACCTTCCACAAAAGCGCCTTGGAAAGGTGAGATGATCAATGGAAGCACTTTCTTTATCCTTTCTGAAAGAACCTTTGCAATAATTTTATATATACTCCCAACAAGACTAATTGGCCTATAGTCTTTAGGGTTTTGGCCTCCCTCCTCTTCGGGATTAAATTTATAAAAGTGGCATTCACCCCTTAAGGCACCTCTCCTTTGAGAAAGAATTCATTGAACACTTCCAGGAGAAGATTGCACTCTTAATTTCCTCCAAAGTGAAGTTCCTCTCCAAAGACAAAGATTGTTCTTCTGAGAGCTATTCCCTTCCATTTCTGGTAGTTTTGTTGTCACCCCACTTGAGCTTGTGAAGATTTCTTTGAAGTAGTTCACAAAGATCCTTATGATCTCCTGGCTTTCTCTTACTTCCTGACCCCCCTCCTCCACACTGAAGATCAAAATTTTCTTTCTCCTTCCATTTGCAATTGCATGGAAAAACTTCGTATTACCATCTCCTTCAACAATCCATTGACACCTTGACTTTTGTCTCCAACAAATTTCCTTCTTTCTTAAAGTCTCTTCCAATTCTTGCTTGATTTTCCATCGATCCTCTCTCTCTTCTTCTGTTAAACTTCCGCTAGCCTCTTTTTTGTCAAGCTCCTCGATCTTCCTCACTATATTGTCTTTTATTTCCTCCGCCCTCCCAAAATGCTCTTTGTTCCACTTTTATTTTCCTTTTTATCCTCTTTAATTTCCATGCAAAACTTAACAATTTCATACTCCACAAGGGTCTGAGTTCCTGCCACCATTCTTTTAGTCTGGTTTTAAATGAGTGATCCTCAAACCACATGTTTTCAAATCTGAAAGGAGTTGGGCCTCCCCCTGGAATTTCCTTCTCAATGGAAATGGGGCAATGATCTGAGGTGACCTTAGGTAGCCCTTTCACTACTATTGAGCCCCACAATTCTTCCCAGTCAGGAGTAAATAGAAATCTATCTAGTTTGGAGCAGGTTGGGGGGGATTGGAAGTTTGACCATGTATAGTCCACCCTTAACATTGGAGGTTCAATCAATTCAAGGGAATCGATTAAGTTATTAAAATTCCTCATGCTGGTAGTGATTCCTTGGTTCGGTTTATTTGTTTCTTCTGAAAATCTGATAACATTGAAATCACCCCCCATACACCACGGTTAGACCTGTTCATGGGCCGGATAGCCTGATGGCCTGGCCCAGCCCGGCCCTCACCCGGTCGGGCTTGGTCATGTAATTAGGCCTGTGGACCTGACCTCGGGCCTAACATAGTAAGCCCGATTGTGTTTCGGGCCGGGCTCGGGATTTGTCAAAAAAGCTCGGCCCGAGCCCGGCCCGGCCCGACTCAGCATTATATATTTTATAAAATATATAATATGTATTTTATATATTATATAAAATATATAAATAATATAATTTTTATTAAAATATATATATTTATAATTTAATATATACATTTTTTATTCTTTTCTTTATAACACCTCTCTCTCTCTCTCTATTCAGCTGCTAACAATATGGGCTAAATTTTGGGCTCGGGCTCGGGCCCAGGCTCGGGCTTCGGGCTTTTTATGAGGGCCGGGCTTGGGCCCAAGTTGTAGGCCCGATGGTTGGGCCGGGCTCGGGCTCAGACCTTAGAAAATTCTGTTAATACAAAGTGAAAGCCTGGCCCGGCCCATGAACAGGTCTAACCACGGTCCCTCCCAAACTCCTCTAATTGCACATAATTCCTCCCAAAACGCCTCCCTGTTTCTATAGGAATTGGGACCATATACATTTGTAACCACCCACCCACACCCGTTCGAGGGTCTTCTAATTTTAATGGAAACTGAGTATCTGCCAATCAATTCCTCCACACATTCCATTTCCTCATTTCTCCAAATAGTCAAAATTCCTCCTGAAGCTCCCCATGAAGGGGCAAACGACCAGCTTAGAACCCTAGCTCCCCAAATGCTTCTTATCCACCTTCTATTCAGCTGTGATAACTTGGTTTCTTAAATCAAAATCAGATCTGGTCTTTCTTTCCTGAGAGTGCTCCTAATTATTCTCCTCTTTTTGGCACTTCCAAGGCCTCTTACATTCCAACTGACTGTCTTCATTTCAATCTGCTTGAAACCCCTAATCAGTGGCTACCTATTGTGTCCCTCTTTTTCTTTTCAAGCTCCCTTCTTCCTGCCTTTCATAGTTAATTCCGCACTTAAGCTTCTCTAGCTCGGTTTGCTTTCTTCTTCTTTGCTTTCCTTTCTTCCTTAAATATACCTTTTTTCTTTTACTCTTTCTTCCCACTCTTTTGTTTTCTTCCGACTTTTCTTTCTCCTCCTGACTCAGCCTCCTAGCAACCTCCTGGGTTACAGGTCGGGGAACTAACTCTGGATGGGTGATGAGGTGGTTTGCTCTATTAACAACAGTCTCCTCTCCTAGGGTCGGGTCCACTAGGTTCTCCAGGATTAGGGACCAGATTCTAGCTCTCTCCTGTTCTAGGCTATCTTCCAAAATGTTCTCAGATTCTTGACCTGTGGCACAATCCATTAGAGTATACGAAGGAGGAAAGGCATTGGTTGTTCCTGCACAGATCGAGACACAACACTTAGAAGGGTGCAAACAATGCTTAACAGACTGGAAAGGTAAACACAAAGAAACGGGGTTAGGGACTCCCTGTGCCAGCGATTCTGAGACCTTCCCTAAATCAATACCCTCTGATTCGGGCTCCCTGTCAGGCAACACTTATATAACATCTAGTTTCTGATCCTCTTGTGCCTCTTTGCTTGGGTCAGTGTCGAGATCCAACACACCAATTTTAGCATCTTGACGATGTGTCTTCTCTGGGATTTCTTCGACTTCCCTCCTGACTGACGCTGGGTTCACTACTAAGACTGGCGCAGGACTATTGTCCGATTCTTCTCTCGGAACCAAACTGCAGCATTTAGAGGGAGTTTCGAACAGCAACTCAGTTCCCATCGTTTTGTCTTCCCACAAGATTCAAGTTTTAGCAGTATTCACACTTCCGATGCTATCTTCCAGCTCCGACAGGTTTGCCTTCTCTTGCAATAAATCTTCCCAGTCACTTTCCTCTTCTGATTCATCACTCTCATGCCTATTGAACTTCGGATTTGGTTTCTCAGGGGATGTTGAGTTGTTCGATGTCACCAGTTTCCATAACCAAGTTTCGCTGCTGCCTTCTCTAGGGACCTTTGAACCACTGGTGGTGGCCCTGCTTCTTTGTAACACACCCACGGCGGGGGGACGAAACACAGGGGTCGAGAGAGACGATGATAGACCCCTGCGATTGTCCACCGACTTTTGGTTTGAGCCGTGCTTTGGTTCGAGCGGTTCACCTGTTGGGTTGACTGGATCTGCATGCTTAGCCTTAAATGAGCATCTATTGCTCGTTCCAGCTGTTGCCTCCACATACGATCGAACTGACGCCACGCGTGAGTTGATGGACAGCTCAGATTGAAGATTTTCCTTGGTGCCCTGAAATCCCACTTTCGAACTGAGTGACTGTTCACTTGCCTTTGTTTTGCAAAAACGGTCAAGTTTCTTTGTTTCTTTGACCCTTGCCACGTCATCATCTTTAACCTCCCACAGATTTCTCCACAATCTCTCCTCCACCGATGATAGCAGCCACGCCACAGATTGAGGATCTCTGACTCCCAACTTCACTGTTCTTGGAACTTCTTCCACCTTAATCCCTCTCACACCCATTACGGCTGCACTGAGATTTGAAGTGTCCAGCTCTTCCAAGGCGCCACCGCACTGAGATGCGATTTGCGTGAAAGTTTCAGAGGACCATAAATGGAACGGAAGCCCAACCACTTTCAGCCTGAAAACTTCTGTTTGTTCTACACGATTTGCACTCGGTGTCCACTGGCTAACTACCATTATTCCTTCCGAAGTCTGAATAGGGAGAGCATGAACCTCCCCAACCATCCTTCCCACTTCTAACAGGGCCTTATCTGCTTGGAACGGTCGCAAATAGGACCCTTCGAAATTCAATTTCTGTTTTAGTTCCTCTGCTATCGAACCCCATTCGACCACCTTCTTTTTTGCTGAGACAACGTATTTTTCATTCCAGCCCTTTTCCTTTCCTGAACCTGTTTTTGATTGGAAGAGTTCACTATTGTTGGCCTGGGATTGCCTTGACTGTTCCATATTTCTCCACAAAAAATCCTGTAGTTCTTTCGCAACCATAATCCAACCTTCACTCTGGTTTCCACATGGGATGCGTATCATCTGTTTCTTGCCTAGCCCAAATCACTCTGTAACTGTGATGAACCACCCTTTCCTATTAAACCGTTGTTCTGCTTCAAACATCTTACCATTTAATTTCATACTGTTCTTCCAATTCTGGGATCTTCTTGAAACTATGGCAACGTCCAGAAAACCTTTTAACCATACGACCACATTCTTCGGAAGGTACACTGAAGCTTTTTTCTCTTCCCTGATCTTCAACGACACCAGATTCCTTGATTTCACTTCCTCGAACTTAAAGAGTTTTGCTTCAACGGATGCTTCCTTTCTCCATCTACCCACTGTTTCGAACATCTCCATCTTATCTCCAAAGCAAGAATACTATCCCAAAGCTCCTGTAGCAATGGTATATTTGTTTAAAACATGATAATTACAATTTAATCAATGATGCCTTGTCATAACTCATAAGGCACCACAGCATGCATACTGCCATTAAAAACTTATGTCGGCACTGTACAGCAGCCTTGTTATGCTTTTGTGAAGCTTATGCAAATGACTAGTTTTGTAATTTTAATTATAATTCTATCTTTTAAAAATGTCTTATATTAAAGAGATGAATGAACAACATTAGCAAAAAAGGTGGTTCTCGCAAGGCACACCAAGCGCATGCCTTTTGAAAGTGTTGTGCCTGGGGCTTAGGAGAGGTGCATACCTTAAATGTGCCTTACCTGTGCGCCTAGTCATGCATTTTAAATCACTGGGACTGAATATCTGTCAAAATAGAAACGTAGATTTTTTCTTCACATTAATCAACTCATCTATTTATTGATATGACTACTTTTATTTCAAAGACTAAATATTGTATCCTTTTTATTTTGGTCTTCTCAGTTATGGTTAGATCTTTATGCAGGTGATCAACCTGGAGATCTTGAAGTGGAACAACTGGTCCAAGATGTTGAAAAATATACTCTTGCAAGTCATCTATTTTGGGGCCTATGGGGAATAATTTCGGTACATCCTTCTTCTTTCATGATTATTTAGCTTCTATTCCACAAGCAGGAATTAAAGTATTATCATGTGATGATTTTTTTTCACTCTAACCAATAATGAAAGAATCTCTTGATAAGAAAACAGAATATATGAGCTGTATACAAAATGGATTCATAAAAACTCAAACGAAGAAAAGATTTAATAAGGCACTTAGAACCATCTATATCTGCCCGCCATACAAAAGCCAAGGCAAGCTAGAAATTTATTAAAATAGAAAGAATCCTGTCCAAAATCCAAAAGAAACCATAGCCACTCTCAACTCTAATATATTCACTTGGCACTTAATAAACGCCCCATTTAACACACAAGAGCACCCTAAATCCCAAACTCTCAATTATGTGGAGCTGGCTACATTAATCCTGTTCCATCATTTCCATTCTGTACAGATAATAGCTCTCAATTATTGCTTGGGTGATAATATTATTTACATGGGACTAAAAATGTTCTTGGTAACAGCCTCTCTATATGTGCAGGGGTAAGACTGCATACACCTGTCCCTCCCCACATCCCCCATTGGCGGGAGCCTTGCACACTGGGCTTCGGGCTTCCCTTTTAGACTAAAATTGTTAAATAGCTTTACTGTGGCTACATACTTTTCCACCATTGTGCTCTATCAAGAGCCATATTTTCTGTCAAATTGTAAGTTGGATTATTTTTTAACACTTCAGACCACATTTCCTTTGGTCTTCCTCTTGATATTTTAGAATCTTCTACTTGCACTAATTCACTTATTGCTGCAGTCATTGGTCATCTATGCACATGACCAAACCATTTTGCTTGACTACTAATTGGAGCTATGTCTAAGTCCTCATTAGTGTTCTTATTTCTGTTTATGTTCTTTCTAGTTTTGCCATTGCTGCAGTCACTGGTCATCTATGCACATGACCAAACCATCTTGCTTGACTACTAATCGGAGCTACGTCCAAGTCCTC